ACCCTTACAGGATACCTTAGACAATTTGTCTACTTGGGCTATTCAGCTAGGTATCGAATTCTCCACGGAGAAAACTGAGTTGGTCGTTTTTTCTAGGAAGCATAGCCCAGCACAACCGAAGCTTCAACTTTTGGGTAAACCGATCACTCATTCTATGTCCTTCAAATATCTTGGGGTCTGGTTCGATTCAAAATGCACCTGGAGATCCCACATTGAGTATCTGAGACGAAAATGCCAACAAAGGATCAATTTTCTCCGAACAATTACCGGAACGTGGTGGGGAGCCCATCCGCAAGATCTTCTAACGTTGTACCGGACAACGATTTTATCGGTTTTAGAATACGGTAGTTTTTGTTTCCAGTCGGCGGCTAAAACTCACATCATCAAACTGGAACGTATCCAGTATCGTTGTCTTCGTATCGCGTTAGGATGCATGCACTCGACTCATACGATGAGTCTAGAAGTGTTGGCGGGCATGTTGCCACTATCGGATCGGTTCTCGGAATTGTCCCTCAGGCTCCTCACCCGTTGCGAAGTTATGAACCCACTGGTAATCGAAAACTTTGAAAAGCTTCTTGAGCTGAGCCCTCAAACTCGTTTTATGTCATTGTACTACGTGTACATAACACAGGATGTCAGCCCTTCACAGCATAATCCTCATCGTGTATGCTTCTCCGACTTCGGCAATTCAGTTAGTTTTGATTTATCTATGACGCGGGAGATTCGTGGGATCCCAGAACATCATCGTTACATGATTGTTCCGTCAATTTACGCTGCAAAGTTTGGCCAAGTTGATTCCGCAAGATCGTTCTTCACAGATGGATCACTAATAGAGTCGTCCGCTGGTTTTGGTATTTTTAACGAATTTCATAGCGCCTCTCGAATGCTTCAAGCTCCTTGTTCCGTATATGTTGCTGAGCTGGCGGCAATACATTATACGCTAGAAACGATCGCCTCACTTGCACCAGATCATTATTTTATTTTTACGGATAGTCTCAGTTCTGTCGAGGCTATTCGCTCTATGAGGCCGGTAAAGCACTCCTCGTATTTTCTCATGAAAATACGAGAGCTTTTAAGTGCTTTATCTTTAAGATCTTTTTTCATCACCTTTGCATGGGTCCCATCTCATTGCTCGATTCCGGGCAATGAGATGGCTGACTCACTTGCTAAGGTGGGCGCTATGGAAGGCGATATTTACGATCGACAAATCGCCTACGATGAATTTTTCTTCATTTATCGTCAACAGTCACTCGTCAGCTGGCAGAATAAGTGGAGTGAAGGGAGTTTGGGACGATGGCTATATTCGATCATCCCTAAGGTGTCGAAGAGTTCTTGGTTCAAGGGGTTGGATGTGGGTCGAGACTTCATTCGTATGATGTCTCGCCTCATGTCCAATCACTATTCGTTAAACGCTCATTTGTTCCGTGTTGGGCTGAAGGACAGCAATCTCTGTGAATGTGGACAAGGTTACCAGGACGCAGATCACATTATTTGGTCTTGTGCTGAGCATCGCGGAGTCAGATCTGAACTGTACGATTCCCTTCGGGCTCGAGGTAGACAACCTTATGTTCCAGTTCGGGATATTTTGGCTAGACGCGATCTGGAGTTTATGAAACTCATATATGTTTACTTTAAGAATATTAACATTAGATTGTAAGTTTTATTAACCTTGTGTTTAGTTTGTATTTTGTACGTGTGGGTTTTTTTTATGTTTGTTTTCAAGATGAATAGAAATTAGGATTAATTAAATATTTGTATCGTAAACCACATTTCAAACCTCCCTCTCTCTTTTCCCATCCAAAAAAAATTGTAAATCCCCACTAACCTCGAGACAACCGCGAGTATCCGGTCCAGCTCCTTTAACTTTAAATATAAGAAATCAATAATGTATAACAAAAATGATAACTCGGCTCTGTAAAGTTTATTCGATTGAGCCTGTATAAATAAAGTAATTAATAAAAAAAAAAACACACTCCACATATTCTCCGTTTTTTGTTTGTTGTCCTAATTGATGTCGCGTAAGTAAATTGCATTTAAGTGTATTATTCGATGACTTTTTAGTCGTTTTCAGGATGTCATTCAAAATTATTCAAACGATCGAAGCCGGGGAAATTTGTGAAATTTTTAGTGTTGTACCTAGTGGCTGGGAAGCCAATGGGATCTTGCGGTGGCCGAAAAAGCACCTGGTAGGAAAATTGTCCCAGATCGAAACATCCACTGCAGATGATAAATGGGAAAAGATGAACTGTGCCAGGAAAAGGGAATTTAAGACACGTAAGGAAGCTGATGATGAACTTGATCGGATGGAAACACGACATGATACCGAAGTGGAAGATATTCCACTGGCACCTCCAAAGAAGCGTGTGTGTCGTGAGCCCTCAAGGAAAGTATTTGCAGCGAAAGACTTTAACAACCTCTTGGACACTCAAGAAGAATTTGAAGCGGAAAGCAACGCTGAATCCAATCCTGTCAACAATGCATGTGTGAGTATTTCAATCTAGTAGTTTCTTTTATTAAGAATTGAGAAATATTCATAATTTCAATCGTAGATTACAGCTCCTGTGAATGATCAACAACTGCTCTATGTCACGGAAAATGTTCACACGAAGGGAATAGCAGAACACAATGAATCATCTCAAATCTTCTTACTGACTGGTGACGATGGAATTAACAATGGAAACTTGGAAACTGTTTTTTTTTTCTTTGGTTTGTTTTTTCCGTCGATCTTGTTTTCCGTGCTGAGCACCAATGCTACCGACGTGCCAGGAAGGCAGCTCCGACACCTGGACCCTACCTATCGACCCATCAACTCATGAACCGGGGACCAACGGCTTTGCTTCCCATCCGAAGGAAGGCGTGATCAGAGATGTTATGCCTCAGAACATCCCGGCGGCGCCGACTGGGATTGAACCCAGGCCTGCTGGGGTGAGAGGTAATCACGCTTACCACTACACCACCGGCGTCGTTAAATTGTTACAAGTTAATTGATTACTTTTTCACTCGAAAGTTTCTCACTCAATGCTCATGGACAGGAATGATGCGACAGGCTGATGGAAATTCACAGCAGGAGCCGTCAACTTGTGGAGATGCTACGACAAAGGTACCATTGAAATTCTTCAAAAACACACGTGCGCTGTTTCTGAATTTGATTGTACAAGCTGACAATCAGTTTTCGGAGCTTGATTGGGACAAATTCTTCAAAACGATCCTTAAGAACAGTAAGCAGTGACTCTCCTCAAAGTTCCTGACGTCGAAGCATAAGACCAGGCCTACAAAAATGAAGTACAACAAATCCGGGGCTGGTTCTGGACCAACGCAAACAATATTCCTAATGCGAATACCACAGAGTCACATGAACCATCCTATAAATAGAAATCGAATGTACAATGTAATTATACAATGAATGGTTTAACATAAACGTTATGATGGATTTTATTTACCGTATTTAAAAATAATATTCAACTTACCTAATAATCACTTTTAATGTATTGTGTGGAGCAGTGGTATGAATACCATCCCTACATTTCTGTTCGGTATAAGTATTGCTACCATCTTACATTTTATGTCTAATAGTGTGTATTGTGTTTTTGCAGCTTGTTTACTACTGGAATTAAAGACGTGTAAATGGCTTGATTTTATAGGTGTTGCAAAATAATCGCTGGTATGTTTTAGTGGACTACCCGAAATTAAGATATTCCCATTTTGTTGAGAAGCGTGATCGAAACCAACCACCTGATTATTTTTAGTAAGAAACCACGTATTGGCCGCATTGTTATCTAATGAATATGTTTCGAAGTCAACTTTAGTAAACATATCATCAGAATCAGGTGTACGAATTTGTTTTTTCAACGTTGGAGTTGCATGAACTGTGTTACATGGTTTGCAATTTTCTTCAAGCTGATTTAGTTCGCTTATTCGCTTTGCCGCCTGAGCTAAGGGTTTATGTCCACTTCGAATTAAACTTTTAATCTGATATAGTTTACTCTCGAAAGGGTAAGCAGTAAAACTTGGCAGGATACCGAAACGATTAAAATCTTCTATAAGATGACTGAGATTATGAACGTTACTTGTGATGTAATCTTCTCCATATATATCAACATACCGTTCAATGTAATGTTGCAGCAACGATTCTGCTAGGTCAATGAGATGAGAATGAGAATCGGTTGAGCAAATAGTTATGGCACAAAAAATTACCAAAAAATGTTCGTATACGTCTTCTGGTAAAAAAGGTTTCAAAACTATTATACCTATATAATACAAAAATGTTCGAAACTCTGTACCCTTCCATTGATTTAAAAACAGTCGAGACCTCTCATGCTCCTCGTGCACGGACGATGAGATCGACCCAAAAACGTGGATTTACGCACAAACAAAATTTTCCAGGAAAAACTCGAATATGAGGACAATTTTCGTCGATTTTTCTCATATTCCAGTAGATTTTTCTGGAAAAGCTCGGAAAATTTTACTCACTAGCAAAATTGATTCGAATTCAACCCAATTTTGAGTCGATCTCATCGTCCGTGTGCAGCATTACTGACAATTTGTTCCACCCAATAAAGCATCATTCTCGACGGAGGAACGGACGACTAATGTGATGACGTGGAGTGAGAAAATTCGCGAGAGAAAGTAAATGTACATCGTTCCAAACAAGTTCGAACACATAGTCGGTGACCATGAGCCTCCATCCATTTTCGTCGGAAGGCATCCAAATTTCGTTCCCATATGAGGATTCGAGGAAATCAAGTAATGTTAGATATTTTTGAATTAATACGTGGAACGAGCGCCATTTCTGTTTGCCGAGAAAGACATACATCAATAGGACGGCATAGAATTTCCGAGAATGCTGTTGATAGAATTGAATCGATTTGCACACGCGTTGGACGAGAACCCATTGACGACGATGTTGACGTTTGATTGCGAGTTCCATGAGGGACATTTCGGAAGCAGTCAGACTCGACGCGGCTAAACATTTTGAACCTTTTTTTATTTATTGAGTTTTCCGATAAATTTTTGCTCATATTACTATTGCAATTCATTTTATAAGAACTTCGGGATCGTTTCCATTTGTTTTCCTATCGGCTATCATCGCTAGTAAAACCTAAGTTTTGTGATTTTTTCCATTAGTAAATAAGAGTTCGCGTCGTTAAAACCTAGCATCGTGCGGACAAATTTCTCAAATCCCTTCACGCTCAACTGAATGCGCATCACTTTCAAGAACAGTGCCAAGAAGGTAAAAAATTGCTCGATAAAATACATTGGAAAAGAGGATTGATTAATTTGGAAAAAAACGCGTTAAAACAGGGGAAGGATATAATTTAAATACTAAACACTAATCGTCGATTGTAGTCTAATCAAATTTCGGGTATCGCTTCTTTTTCTTTCATTTCGGGAGGGGGGATCAAAGTTAATAAATATTGATGCCTGCTCCGTCGTAGAGCACTAGGAGAATTTCGATCATCGTATTCTGTACAATTCAAATTTCTTTGTCGAGCCCAACTAATCAACTCTCGTATTTGCTTAATGTATAATAATGATAATAAATACAGGGCATAAAATCTACACGAAAAAAAAATGTGAGAAAAGTCCAAAGCAACAAAACCTAACGAAAACTAAACATCGAGCTTAAACACAATGAGCAGTACGGAAGAAAGGTAGCAACTTGATACATGCAAACAGAATGTGTTGAAAAACTTACAGAAAGATAGCGAAAAAAAGCATAAAGGAAGAAATTTATTAGCATCGCTCTACGTTATCCGTTTTTCTTCGGATGTTGCTACTTTTGCTCCAGCGGCGTCGGAGCGACGGTGTGTCGATGGGAGATGTTTCCACTTCTAAAAACTCCTCATTTGAACAAAATCTCAATCGAACCCACCGCGCACGGCTGGCTGCTGCTGCTGTTGGCAAGTAGCAAGTGTTGTTCTCTGACGACCCAACTACTACTGGAAGGTACTCTACGTTCGTGTCATCATTCCATTAATCATGATGTTTGCCAGCGCATTTCGCCGCTTCCGCCAGGTCCCCATGCCCTGCGAATGATACTGCAGCTGGCTGTACCACTGCTTCGTTTTGCTGCCATCTTCCGCCTGGGGATTTTTTTTTTTTTTGGGATTTCGGTTTATATTTCACGAGATAAGAACCACACGTGCAGCAGGGAAAACATGCAAATGAAAAAGAACAATGATATGATTCGTATGAGAGCACCGCCACCGCCCGGTGGAATTGCTCGGTTATCAAAAGCCCGAACGTACACGTACCTTGAAAATGAACGATTCCTTCGAGAGAATCTCCTGCACTTCGAAGTAGTCTTCCCAGTCGTGCTCGGTGCAAACGATGCACCGGTCCAGGTAGAGGGGCTCCCGGAGAAGCGTGTAGCGGCCGTTCTTTTCGCGGACCAGGAGCAGCGAGGCCTCTCGGATGCCGGCGTGGCGGGGGAAGTTGAGCAGCTCGGTGGAGGCACGGTCCGGTTTGTAGCTGGGACTTGGCTGGCAAGGGAACAATGAGTTTAGTGAATGTGAGGCTATTCAAAGGGGTTGGGTACATTTGGCATACGGATGTTTGGGATAGTGGACATTTGGCATAATAGTTACGAATCGAAACCAAAGATTACTCCTTTTAATTGCTGCTCGTAATTTTGCATAGAATTGTAATTCTACGTGTCACTAATTGTGAAATTTTTCCATAAATAAGCTTTGGTTAATATTGCAGTAGACTTGTCCTTCTTTCAACCGTGAGCACAGCGTTTCCAGATATATCGATTTATCGGTATTTATACCGATTTTTGAAACTATGCTGAACATTCGAAGTCACTGCCGTGAAACAATACCGAGACAATGAGCTATATTTTATTCTACTAGAGCAGTGCTGCCAATGCACAGTGGTCCAGAATGCAGATTTAGATGGAATGATATGTTTTGAGCCTGAAATTGAAACTTTAGTCTAAAAGTCTCTTCTACAAAGTTGTTCCTTATAGTTAGGCCCTCATTTTTTATGGCAATGAATTCTAGGGTGGTTACTATTATCGTTAAAATCAAAAAATTTAACTTTGACGTTGGATAACGTCTTTCGACAACATACGGGGGTACAAAATTGAAAGCAGTCATTTTGGAAGCTCTCAATTAATAACTGTGGAAGTGCATTTAGAACACTAAGTTGAGAGCACGCAATAAGCTAATATGCACAAAGCAATAAGCTTGATATGCGAATAAGAAGAAGAACATTTTGGATGCGTTACGAAAAATTAAAAGATTTTGAACGATAATAACTCAACCGTCTCTCGATAGATTTACGAGATAATGGCATCAATCGATTGGAAATATTTCTAGCAATTTGCTGAACGTTTCAAAACTATTGATTTCATTCTGTAAACTATTGAAAAATGGTTAAAAGTAAACCATTGTCTAAAGATGGTGAAAATCGATTGATTTTTTTATATTCTTATACTTTCTCCAACCGAGACATCAGATGCGAGTATCTGACACCTCTGATATTTTCTGTTCTACTATATAAGCGTCCAACAAGGTCGCCCATTGCGTTCCATCATTGTCTATCCGATCGTCGACCCAGCAGCAGAGCAGCAGAGCAGCAGTACCAGAGCAACGGCAGCAGAGCAGCGGCAGCAGAGCAGCGGCAGCAGAGCCTGGGGGCGAAAGGGCTACTACGCCGAGTGCGTTGGTGCCAGTGCTCCGGTATACTGGGCCACCGTCATGGAATGCCCAGCTGCTGCAGTTCTCAGTCGGTCGTATTCACCGTCTGCTCCGCAAGGGCAACTACGCCGAGCGCGTTGGAAAAATGGCCCTTTTCAGGGCCACAACATTATCAAGAAAGAGTTTAACGTACGTATGCGAGTATCTGACACCTCTGATATTTTCTGTTTTACTACATAAGCGTCCAACAAGGTCGCCCGTTCCATCATTGTCAACAACATCAGCCCAACAAAACGGCCCTTTTCAGGGCCACCAAACTTTCGCAAAAGAGTTATTAAGGAATATTCCTAAAATATAATATACACAATTAAGTACAACACATAACAGACGTTATCCAACGCCAACCCTGCACTCGTATCTAGTATACAACCCTTCTAACTTTTTTGTATCTCTTAAATTGGCCAATTTAGAGCTATTTCCTTGAATTGAGTTAGGGTGGCTCTAAAAAAATCAAAACACTTTTGCTGAGAAATTCGAAATAAGAAAACTAGAGCAAAATAACTGTTTTTTAGAGCCACCCTAACTCAATTCAAGAAAATAGTTTTAAATTGGCCAATTTAAGAGATACAAAAAAGTTGTTTAGAACAAAGTTGCTTGAAATTAGCTCAGCTATAACTTTGCCGAGAAATGTATACCTTAATAGATTCAAACAAAAAAGTTAGATTTTTGATTTTAATGATAAGACGAACCACCCTAGAATTCATTGTCATAAAAATAAGGCCCTAACTATAAGGAACAACTTTGTAGAAGAGACTTTTAGTCTAAAGTTTCAATTTCAGGCTCAAAGCATATCATTCCACCTAAATCGGCATTCTGGACCACTGTGTAATGGTACAATAAAGAATCATTCTTGGCAACACTTCCAACTCACGGTAAAATTGACGGGAATCCTGAACGAGCAAAGAATCATATTCCAATCTTGCTCAACATTCGAAGCCGCTAGCTTGATATGATACCGAGATATAGAGCTCTATTTGATTCTACTCGAACAGTGTTGCCATCTCACGGCAGAATTAAGAATCAGTGATGAAAATCCTGAATTCATGACTCATATTCCAATTTTGCTGAACATTGAAACGATACCGAAAAATTGAAATTTATTTGATTCTACTCGATCAATGTTGCCGACAGAATTGCTTGACATTCACAATAACTCTGGCTGGCTCTTGACCCATACTCCAACTTTTCTGAATACTTGAAATCAGTACCTTGGAATCATACTGAAAAATTGAGCTTCATTTGCTTCTACCCAAGCAGTGATGCCATCTAACGCTAGAAATATGTGTCTTTCATGGTCAACCTGGGTGGCTCGCCCACTCCAACTTTGCAGAACTTTTGTTACCGCTATCTTAAAACGAAACCGAAATATCGAGCTCTATTTGATTCTACTTGAGCAGTGTTGCCATCTTTCGGTATAATTTGAAGTCATTCATTGCAACCCTGACTGGCTCTTGACTGATTCTTCAACTCTCCTGAACACCCGAATTAGCTATCTTGTACCGAAACTGAGATATTGAGCTTTATTTGAGTCTACTCGAGCAGTGTTGCCATCTATCGGTATAATTTACAATAATTCACGGCAACAACGTTGGCTTGTACTCCAACTTTGCTGAACCGTCGAAGTCATTACCGTGAAATGATGCCGAGATAATGAGCTCTTTTCGATTTAAATCGTGCAGTGTTGCCGTCTAATGGTGGAAAACTGAATCATGCATGGCAACACTGACGAGCATTGAGCCGTTTTCCAACTTTACCGAATATATGGAAACGATATTTCGAGTCCTTTCATTTCATAAAAAAGTTCGACATCAGAAAAATTACGGAAATTTTTAAGGAGCAGAACTACAAGAACGTTCCTAAAATTCAGGGTTGATCCGAGAACATCAAGAATGTCTAGGGCTACGGGCAAATTTAAATCTGCATCTCAAAGGGTAAGTTCCGATCGCAATACGGTCCCATAGATTTCAGAATAATGCACTTCAGCGAATATCAAAGAGCTTCAGGGCAGTTCCATTACCTTCAGCAAGATTACAAGAACTTTACAGTTGTTGCCAATCAACATTTCAGTTTTACATTTAAAGATCTTCAGGGAAGCAACGTGAACTTCGAGGCAGCTTTGAAAATTTCAAGGCAGTGCCATGACTACCACGAAAATAGCGAGATCTTTAGGGAAGTTCCAACAACTTCGGGTAGATTTCTAGAACTTTAGGGCAGTGTCATTCATTTCAGGAGAATCTCGGTAACGTCCAAGAAGTTCCGAAAATAAAAGATTAGTCTAGAACACTTCAGGGAAGTTTAGTGAACTTCAGAAAAATTTCAGAAACTTCACAGAAGTTCACGGAAGTCCAGCGAGATCTTAAAGATATTTAGGTCATTTCCAGATCATCATCAGTAAATACCAGTATCAGTACGGATGAACCCAAGGATGCCTGTGAAAGACGCAACTGGACAGTTGCTCACCGACCCCACTGACCAGTTGAAACGTTGGTTTGAGCACTTTGAACAACTTCTCCAAGTTTCAACGGTCAACCAACCATCAACTTCTCGGCATGATCAACACTGAAGCTCCATCATTGCAGGAGATAGAAGCAGCCATCCGAAGTATGAAGTCCAACAAAGCCCCGGGGGTCGATCGCATCAGCAGAGATGCTCAAAGCTGACCCCATGCTATCCTCACAAATGTTGCATCAACTATTCGTCAATATCTGGGACACCACGACTTGATGCAGGGCGTCTTGGTAAAAGTCTCCAAGAAGGGGGATCCAACTCAAAGTTCTGCGTAAAGTTATCCGGATACCGGAGAAGATCGGCGCGACTCTCCGACGACAACAGGCAGAATTCCGTGCTGGAAGATCCTGTGTGGACCATATTGTCACGCTCCGCATCATCTTGGAGCAGGTCAATGAGTTCCAAGAGTCCCTGTACTTGGTATTCATTACCTACGAAAGATAATATCGTCAACCTCATCGAAGCGCAGTACGAGGCTTTCTCATGCAGAGTGTTGCACAACGGAGCTTTGTCTGACCCGATTCGGGAAATCGCGGGTGTGAGGCAAGGATGTATATTATCACCGCTACTGTTCCTCATCGTAATCGACGAGATCATGGTTGGAGCCGTTGACCGTGTAGCGAACCGTGGGTTGCTGTGCCATGGAGCATCTCAACGACTTCGATTTGGCTGATGATGTTGCGTTATTAGCACAACGGCGCTCTGTCATGCAGAGTAAGCTCGACGACCTTGTGGAATGCTCCACTGAAGCAGGTCTAACCGTCAACGTCAACAAGACCAAATCGTTGGATGTCAACACGGAAAACCGTTCCAATTTCACGGTAGCTGGGCAGGCAGTGGAGAAAGTCGAAAGCTTCCAATATCTTGGCAGCCAGATAGCGTCGGACGGCGGCACCAAGAGCGACATAGGTGCACGGATTAAGAAGGTGAGGGCTGCTTTTACCAGTTTTCCAAATGTTCGAAGAGCGAATCAGATCAGTCGACGCACCAAAATCCGAATTTTTAACTCGAACGTGAAGTCTGTGCTGTTCTACGCCAGTGAAGCATGGTGTGTATCAGCGCAGAACACTCAGAAGCTGCAAGTGTTTATCAACCGAAGCCTGCGGTACATAATTTGTGCCTGGTGGCCCCACATTTGGATCTCAAATTCCGAGCTTCATCGTTTGTGCCATCGCAAGCCGATAGAGACAGAAATTCGTGAACGGAAGTGGAGGTGGCTCGGCCACACACCTACGACAAGCAAGCACTGGACTGGAATCCAGCAGGATATC